GTAGGCGTTGGCGTGTTAGTGCAAGAAGCCCTCTGGCTGGCTGAACCTTACAGAGGCTACTGGGGGAAAGGCCTGAGTCCCCCTCCTGCAGGCTCCTGCCTTGCCTACTACTGGATCAGGCAGGAGCCCTGGCAGATTCCTTGGAAAGGAAGCTTCCTCCTAACAGGAAAAAGGGAAGATTCCCCTCCTCATAAAGGAGACGGCGGCTTAGCCAGCACAGATTTTGCTTTTCAGCAAAACATGACACAGAGAATCTGCCACCATCCAACTCTGCACAGCTGCTACTTTGCTGCTGCTGCTGTTATTTACCTGCCCCCCCCCAATAAGATTATAGAAGTAGAGTGACTTAGTCTAAAAAAAAAAAAAAGACTGCAGGTGGCACAGTGGTTTAAACCGCTGTGCTGCTGGGCTGGTTGATCGAAAGGTTGCCGGTTCGAATCTGCACAACGGAGTGAGTTCCCGTTGCTCTGTCCCAGCTCCTGCCAACCTTGCAGTTCGAAAGCATGCAAATGCAAGTCGATAAAAAGGTGCCACTTCGGTGGGCAGGTAACAGCGTTCCGTGCACTTCGGTGTTTAGTCATGCCGGCCACACGAGCACAGAGACTGTCTGCGGACAAACGCTGGCTCCCTCGGCTAGGAAACGGAGATGAGCACCGACCCCTAGAGTCAGGCATGACGGGACTTCACGTCAAGGGGAAACCTTTACCTTTAACCTTTAGTCTAAAAAAAGAAATGCATCACCAAGGAAGAGAATGAAGGATACATATTTACATACAATTTGCCTATGTTAATGTATATCAAAAGATGTAAACTGAGAAATGCATGTTGTAATTTAAAGAGAAAGTCAATCCATTTCACAATCTGCTGTCCCAGTGCTGAATGTTGATGGATGATATTTCTCATGGCCCTGTATCATTGAAGTGCTTCTGAGTGGAGGCCAGCCCTTCAAGCGGGGTGATGTTGCATAGAAGGTGGCTCTTCGTGGGCAGGGGCTGCATGGCAAAAGCCCATTGGAGTGGCACCTTTTTGCCCTTGCAGGTGCCAGTCCACCTGCCTATGGCCCTGGCCCAAGCAGTGGCACCAGTGCCTCCTCCTTCCTGGGCTCTCCACCTGTTAAGCAAGCAATGGTGAGAAAGCCCACGGGAAGCAAAATCAGCCGGTGACAACAGCAGTGAGACAGGAGAGTCATCGAGAGAGGGGGACCTTCTGATGGTATCTTGTCTACGGGCCCTTCAAAACCACAGAGCAGGCTCTTGGCAAAGTACCCCAATGCAACTTGCTGGTGTCCTTATCAATGCTGCTGTCCTCCTGGGATGGGAGAAATCCCAAAGCACATGTGAGGCTGCCTTCTATCAAGCCAGGGCATTTGGGCAACCAGCCCAGGCTGGACCACATTGACTAGCTGTGCCTTTGCAGGGTTTCGAGCTTGGCTGGAGATCCTGGGGACAGAACCAAGGGCTTTCTGCGTGCAAAGCACTCGCTCCACTGCTAGGCTATGCCCCTTCGCCGCGCGTGCTTCCAGAGAGCACTGGATTCAGCAGCAGCAGGGCATGGTGCCCATCCAACCTGTTTGGAAGTTGCCAAGTTGGAGAAGGTGGACATGTATCCCCTGGGAAAAGCTTCCTCGAATCACACCAAGGATTCTGGAGGCCATTTTCCAAGAAAAAGTGCTAGAATATGGTGCTGGATGGTTGGGAAAAGTTTTTTATATTCCATATATGAGTATCCAATGGGAATGCCAATATAAACAATCTATCCACTGAGCTTAGCCGGGATTATCCATTATCTATATTATGTGCACATGGCTCAATAAATCACATATATCTGCAGTTAAAACTTGGCGGCTGTATCAGTTGTTTACGTGCAGGAAAACTTTTCAAAAATTTTCTAGTAACTCAAAAGTGAGCAGTATGAAGGCAGGAGTTGCCAAATTAATTTGGGGGGGGGGGTGTAGGAAAGCTCACATACAACGAACCAAAACATCTGGATGCAGTAAGTGCTCACTCTCCACCCTGCCCCATTCCAATTTCACTAAGCTGCGTTATCAAAACTGGGACAAAAATTAAGATGGTCTGCCAGAACACTCCCATATCTGCATGGCATAAAGAGAACTAGTGGGAGTCGGGAACTATGGATTTGAGGCAGAAGGACTTTGCTGCAGTGCTTGAGGCCTCGAGTTATGGCACAAATAAAAAAGAGTGCAGGACACAGAAGAACAGGCTCAAATTACAAGAAGCCCGGTTCTGGCTGAACATCAGGAAGAATTTCCTGACCTTTAGAGCAGTACATCAACGACCTAGGGAGCTGGTGGGCTCTCCCACCCTGGAGGCATTCAGGATGCAACTGGCCAGCCATCTGAGGAGGGTGGTCTTTCTTGGAGTCCTGCACTGAGCAGGGCCCTCTGCCCCCTTCCAAGTCTACCATTCTATAATTCTATGGATCAAAATGCAGAATTCACTGAAGTTCTCTGAATTTTTCTTCAGTGCTTCACTGGACTCGCTTTTATGTTTGCCTATAACTGATTTGCAGTTCATTCAAAGGGCAGAATGTGTGGATTTTTAGAGTTGTGCATTTTGCAAATGAAAACGTTTGAGAGCATGCAATCCTATTTCTGAGAATGTGCAATTGTATTCTGTATTTTTTTAGCGGGGGGGGGCAGGGTTGGTCTTGCAAATTGAAAAGAAATTCTCATACACCCCTAACTACACTTGTCTAGCTTTGCGAAATGTTACAGTGCCATCTGCTGGAGAAAAAAACTACACACAATTAAATATATTGTTTTTCTCATAAACCATAATAGTAAGAGGCATTATAAGCACTTCTGTAGCAATGTAGAGGACATAAACAATTTCCCCCTAATCAGAACATTAGTGAGGTATTAACAGTGAGGTGAAAAAGTATAAACAGAAAAGAAACAAATTCTCCAGTGTTCTCCAGTGTAAGTTCAAAATAACAAAGCCACAGACACACCATTACATGAGAACAAGTATAGGCCTGGTTCTCACGTAATGAAAGCTCACAGTATAGATTGCTGAATCCTGGTTTGTGATGATGTATGAATGATGCATGCTAACAAACCCCAGAAAGAGAACCCATGGTTTGCTGCTGGGTGTGAACTCTGGGTTGTTGCTGCCATGAATTGTTGTAATGTGCAGATTGAGCATCATAGGTTGTTCATGCAGTGTTTTACCAGCTTACAGAGGCAGCAGGAGAGAGGGGTTTTAAAAAATCAGCTGTGGTACAATCAATTCTATAGTACCACAAAGACATTTGGGACACAAAGCAAGCAGAGGAAGCAAACAAACAGCCCAGAAATTGGCCGGGTGGGGTAGAGACCATGGCTTATTTAAATCATCTGCCAAGCAAAACCTTGGTAGGGCAGCAAACCATGGTTTAAATAAATCACGGGTTGGAGTTTTGTGCAAACCAGGCCATACTGTCTTTATGTACAATAAAGAAATATGAAATGATCAAATGATCTCAACGTTATGGGCCTGGATTTGGAGTTCCAAATCGCATAAGGCCAGGAATTAGACAAAGCAAAGAGAAGCAAGTGCTGAGGAAGAAGGGAAGAGGCTTGGCATGCCCACTGAAAAAGGAAATTGGATACCAGGGCTGCTTTTTGCAGGCAAGTATTTGAAGTCCTCTGTAATCAGTGTGTGAGGCATGGTACACTTCCGAAGGCACACGTAACGCTCCTACGGATGCTTTGAGGCTCATCCTGCCTTATGATAAGTCCAAGCTGGGAACATACTCAGCTAATGCTTCAGGAAACCATTTCAATGCCATTATAACATTAGGGTGATCATTCCGTACAAAACTCCAAGTTTAATAGAGACTATAAATCGCCAAACATCTCAATTTCATTCGGTCCTTCATCAACAACAAAAAATGGGAAAGGGTAGGAACTGAGGTTGATATGGTTTCCATTCATTTAGTTATATTTACACCATTCTTTTTTTAAAAAAAGATACAATATTTATATACAAAATAGGGAATTAAAATTGAGTCAGTTTGAAACCATTTTGCAACATGTTCTTTTTAAAATAAAATAGATAAATTAATGTGGGGGAGAGACTGTCATCTGACCCTCCTGGGGTTTCATTTTTCCAAGAGTGGTGAACATGTAAACATTTCCTAAATTATTAAGCACTTTTTTAAAAAAAACAGAGATTTATACTTCAAGAAATTATTCCCTTTGGGTCCCACATTGTTTAAACAAATCTACAACCTAGACCACAGGTAAAAGACCAGGTACAAAGCGATAAGAGCAGGGTTTGGGTTAAAGAACATCACATAAGTATAACAAGAAAATATATCACACAGAACACAAGGGACAGGCTGTTTAAAGAGAATTTTGCTGGGAGCACTGCTCTCTCTTTGCCTGTATCCATGGCCATCTTCACTCAGGAGTGCTTGGTATCCAAATAATCTTGCCAGAGTTCTAACTCCATACCAATGCTACAAGATCATGGCACTGCTGTGTTGAACAGTGCCGTCCAAGTTCTGTAGATTAGCAGCCCCAGATGACAAACGGCCCAGGAGCCACCCAAAAATGAAACAGGTATCTGACACCAAGCACTGCAAGCGCCTTCTTGAACTCAAGGTCCACCCAGTGTGCTAGACTGCAACTCAGTCTTTTGGCCATCCTGCCTGGAGGATGATGGGAGTTGTAGTCCAAGGCATCCAGAAGGCACTGGGTTGGAAGAAGTCTGTCCTGCAGTATAAAGCCATCACCAGTGCAATAACTCGCTGAACATCCCTTGCAGAGACAGTGGAAGGAATTGCTACAGAGTTCCAGGTATGAAGCAAGGCTGTACATATTAAGGCACTTCGTGGCAATGCCAATCTGACCCAGAAAGGGGCAGAAAAAGAGATTCATGCATACACACATTCCCACCCCTTTTCCCCTCTGCTCGCTCGCTCGCTCTCTCAGACACACACACTCACTCACTGTGGGCCAGTTTGCATGATCACCATGGCTAATTTAAGCCACAGTGGGTTGCAGTGTGTACCGGCAGCCATGCTAATTATTCTGTTCCCAAGGAGGGAGTGGTTACACTACAACCCGTGCTGCCCAGGTGCAGATAATATGATAAACTAGGACAATCTCCTGCTGGAGGCTGAACGTTCACCATGGCTGCTGGACACGCTGCAATCCACGCAGCTGCATTAAGCAACACTGGGCTGTGGTGGACACGCAGGCCCCGTTAGTGCACTAACTTTATGGCTCTACCTACTTCTATTAAGAAATAACAGGGCAGGGGGATGTATTCAAAGTGCAGCTAGTGTCTTAGATCCATTCGCTCCAGAGAGCGCAGTCCCATGATGGCCACCTAGCAAGGGGTGGACAACAGGTTGCTCTCCAACTCTTTCGGCTTACATCTTCTGTGAGCGTCAACCAGCATGGCCAATAATGAAGCGTGTTGCGAGAGATACACCAAAACATCTAGAGGGCCACAACTTGCCCATCCTTGCCTCAACCTGCCACACAACTCCTTCCGAAAGATGACAAATGCCAGAATACCATTCTCAGTACACAATGGAGTGCCCAGCTCAGAACTTAAGGGGAAATGTACAGCATCTCACACAACTTGTCAAAATGGGTATCTTATCTTAGAACGCTTCTTGCTCAGGGGGATATACAATATTCAAGATCCACCTTGGTACTTTTTGAAAAAGCTCAAGTCAGAAATTAGTCATGTGAAGATCCAACATCCCCTTGCTGTTCATGATCACCTACCTGCACCCATAACCCTGCTCCTCAGCAAGGTGCCATTCAGATGGTTTAGACTACAACTTCCACAATCCCCAATCATGTGGCTGGTAATGATAGGAACTGTAGTCCAAATGTTCTAGAGAGCACCTGGCTGCCTACTCATGTGTAAAGGCATGCTCTGCAGTGAAAACATTTTCAGAGCAATTTCCACCCAACAAGGTACAATCCTGCAACCAGTTAAGGCACACGAGTCCAGCCCTCCATATTTCAACAGGACCTTTAGAACAAGGCACAGAATTTCAAGAGTTTCATATTTGGTTCTAGGCTTTAACATTGAAGGCAACCAAAGGTTTAACCACCAGGCAAAAGCCAGTGATGGCCTGAATCGGCCTTCAAGGACAACAGAAGCCTTGCTTTGGAAAACTGTGTTGACACAGAAGATGACAAAATGTTTTAACTAGTCCATGGAGCCAGAGTGACCTGCTGTCGGCCACAGAGAAAACAGAAGCAAGCTAAGAACTTGGGAAGGGAGGGAACCAAATCTGAGATATTTCAGCAAAGCATATAACAAGTCTACAGAGCATATTGCTAAAATGCAGTGCTAAATGCAAAGAAGCATCAATTAGTGGGGCACCCAGGTAGACCACTGCCACTGCAGACTTCTTCCAACTACAGCAGCAAGACTGTCCCTCTTGGCTACAGAAAGTTATAAACAACTTGTGCTGATAACATCAAAACATATGCTTTGGAAGATGGGGGAAAGTAAGACAAAAAATCAGCAGTTCCAGTGCTAGTACCCAGCCCCCATGGATGAAGTTGGGTATCACCATCTGTCCTTGGTGGGCAATGTCAGAAAATGGTTTGCCAGCACAGGATGCTGGGATAAAACACTTTCCCATACTATTACGTCCCTGGATGACTGCAAGCCAGGAAACAGAAGGAATAAAGGCAGCCACTGCCTTCAAAGCTGTTTTGCTTAAGAGCATTATAGCTGCTGTCACATTCATGGGCTGGAGCATGCAAGATGAGAAGTGGGAAAGAAATGCACAGGTCACAGACACTGGCTATGTGGATTAGTCATAAAGCCAAAGATTCTCGCTTCGTCCTGCCAGGTCTCCAGAAACCTACACACAATGCAACTTCATTTCTGAGCAGACAGTCCTCTTCCTTCACACTGTTAACTGGTGGGCACTTAAGGGCCATGTGGTCCATTCCCACTGGGGCCTTCCCTCCAGAGGAATGTTCTGCTGCAGAGCACCTGGTCCCTGCACATAGATTTGAACCCTCCAAGAAACAGGTTTCCATTAAAAGAAAAATTCATCCAGTCTCTTGAGATGGAGGGGTGGAAAATATTTGCAGAGGTGGGAGAGAACTAGAAATGGTAGCTGTCCATCTGATGGGCCATACACAAGTAATCCAGATGTATCATTTTCTGTCCAAAACAAAAACTAAAACCCAACCGTAGCCAACACAAAACTCAATGAACAGACAAGAAGATATGGGAGCGACAAAGGTATGCTGAGTTCCCATCACATCAAGTGGGGATGTCTTCAACCACCAGCTCGACAGACCCAGAGACAAAAAAATCCACTGGAGATGTGCCATCATCTCAGCCACCAAGGCTACCTACACGCCTGTTTTCTCTTTGATCCAGTCCCGTAGCTGTGTGACCCGAGTGTAGACACCTGGCTTGTTCCGTCGGGCACAGCCGTCTCCAAAGCTGACTATGCCAGCCAGAAACATCCTGTTGTTGGTTTCTATGCTGGTCAGGGGTCCACCGGAATCTCCCTGAAAAGGAGTGAGAACACGGGTCACAAGTGGACTCTTTAGGCTGCTTTCACCAGCTGCCTCTCCAAGGGACAGTTCCAAGGAGTCGCAGCTGCTTGTGCCAGCGATGGTTTGCTCCGCTTCACTCACTGGAGGAGCCCGAACAGGCAGGAGCACCACAAGAGCAGTTCCCAAGCTGCAGAAAGTAGCTGCTTTCATGCGTAAAGGTCTGACAACCCGAAGAGAAAGCTTCTGGAAAGGGCAGCAGCCTATCCAGGACAACACAGAGGGGCTGAGGAAAGCATGGAGGTAGCAAAACCACTGGGAGCCTCCAGAGACCAACAGAGCTGCAGCTTCTTGAGGAGTAGGGCACCCTCTCCCCACAGCAAAGGGGCCCTCCCTGTAAATGAGGGGTGGGACCCCCCTCTGCCCTGAAGCTGTGACCCTGAAGCACAGCCAGCTTCCCCTGGTGCTCACCATTCCCTCCATGTAAGGGACTGCTCAGCGGGAGCATCTGGGTTCCACTGGGCTAAACAGGGAGGTTGTGATTGTGCCTCTTCCCCCACCCCAGTGCATGTGGTGGGCAGATATGAGCTCTGCATGCCAGAAGCAGCCTTTGGCCTCACCCACTGGTGGCTTGTGGCCTCCAGTCTGTTGGTGCTCCCCCCGCCCCCCAAAGAGACTGCAAAGCCCCCTACCTGGCAGGCATCAACACCTCCTGCGAGGATCCCGACGCACATCATGCGCACTGTCATCTGATTGGGCAGCAGTGTGTTGCACATGGTCTGATTGATCACCCTGATTTCTGCCTTCTGCAAAATTGTGGCACCGATACCTGCCAAGGGTAGAAGCAGTGGGCTTGAGTCTTGAGCAAGCAGGAATCCGCACCGCACTCAGGCTGAGAACGGGGGTCCCCTGGGGTCGTCTTGCCCATGGGAACCTGCTGGGTGGCAACACTTAACCTCACCTCATCCCATTCTCTTTATAGGGAGCCGCTTCCAGAGACTGTTCCAGTAGCGCTACTCGCTGTTGGGAAATGCCAGGATAAATGCAGCTGATGCACCGGTTGTGGTTTAAATCTGAGCCAATGTGGATTTGGACACCGTCAGTGCTTCAGGCAACCATTACCAAGTCCATAGCCTGGTCATGTTGCCAACCTCTTTGGGATTATAGATCCCTATCTATTATTGCCCAGGCTACATGCAGACGTCTAAAGAAGTGCTTCCTTCCAGATGTGCCCTTGAGCCATCTTCAGAGGTCCATCTTACGAGCACCCTCCTTTGAAGGAGATGAGGAAGGGGGTAACAAGGGGAAGTGCCTTCTGGGCAGTGGCACCCCAACTTTGGAATCAGCTCCCCAAAGACGTTCACCTGGCACCATCTTCTTTTCAGAGGCAGGCAAAGAGCTTTTCATCTACCCAATATTTTAATTAAGATAATTCTACAGATTTTATTGCAATTTATAATTGTTTATATTTTAGTACTATTGTACCTTTATCGTGCTTTCAGTGGATAAGAATTGAGATTATAAGGGTGTCAATGTGAAGTTTTATTGTAGGTGGGGGGGTTTGTGATTGTTGCTGCTTTTATTACTGTTACATTTGTTAGATCAGTATTACTTATTTTATTATCTATTTGCTGTTTTATAACATACTTGGCGATCTGCCCATGGACAACCATGGAAGACCTGAATTCTTCTGTGGGTGCCAAATGAATTGGGAATGCTGGCTCTTTTCAAACCAGGGGGAAACGTCTGGAAGGATATCCACGCTCAGGCATAATGGCCAGCCTCCCACCTTCCATAAGGCTACCCACTCCTGTACACATTTTGTGTATTCCAGCATCTCTTCCCTGATCCCTAAGGGGGCAGAAGCTAGATCATTTTGTAAGACTCCTCAAAAAGTTAGCTGGAGTCACATTTGCATGTTCTGCAGCAAAATCAGAGAGAGGTGTACACCTTTAGATGTCTCCAAAGCTGCTTAATTGTCAGATGTGTTATTGATTGATTGATTGATTCCATATCCATATCACCCAATAGTTTTGAGCCCTATAAGGAACTCCAAAGCACATAAAGTGGTTGCAGCAATGTCTCTGTTAAATATTTCTAAAACATTGTTTTCAAGCACTTTTGGGATGTTCCCATTAAATTTTCTCGCATGATCTTCAGAGAAATATTTCACCCTTGGTCACCACTGGAGTCAGATTTTTGTGTTCTGCCTCACATGCATTAATTATTGATGCATTGGAATCCAATGCATTAATTGGATTCCAATTATTTGGAATCCAATTTCCAAAATCGTCCAACTCGCAGCAGTGACACGGACTCAATTACACTCTGGAATTTTTCAGCCATAAAAATCTCACTACATTTCAGCAACAGTCATATCTGCAAATGTACCATGACTTAAAAACTCAATCCTGACACAGCACATAGCAGCTGGTTTTAAACATAACGTGCTGGATCTAAACCCAGGCACATCATCATCAACGAGGCCAGTTAGTCTTGATTTCAATGAGTCTACTCAAAATTTCATTTTTTCTTAGTCCTCTTTCTCTTTAGAAAAGACAACTCAGAATGAGATGATCTCAAAATAATGGTCATACAGTTATAAAATAGCTTTAAAAATCCCATGAAAAAACGAATAATGAAAATGTAAAATGCTGAAAATACTGGTATGGATTTTATACAAATGATGCATAAAACCCAGCATATGCCTGGGAAGAAAGGAAAGCTGGCACTGGATCAGTAGCAATGGTGGTGCCAGGTGGGTTTCCTTGGGGAAAGAACTGTAGAGTCAGCAGGGGAGGAGCTTGGGAAGGGCCCGCCCTCCCTTGCTATCATCCTCCAAACATTCCTCAGAGGCAGTGCTTTGAGAAAGGTCTCAGACATGGACTGCAGTGCAGGCTAGGTTTGCAAATATAACTAAGTCTGGATCCAGCCCAGGATTACCCTTCTACTAAAGTGGCAATCTCAGTCTTGCTTTTCCTAGGAGCTTCCCTTCTCTGGCTTACCTTCCTCTTTAGTAGCTCCCCATCCAGTCACCCAGATGGCTTTGCCAGCAGGGAATTCATGGCTGGCATCAGGCAGGCATATGGGCTGAATCTCCTTGCTGAAGGTGACTGGGCTGGACAGTTCCATCACAGCAATATCAAAGTCAAAGGTATAGTCGTTGAAATAGTTGTGGCGGATGATGCTCTTGATGCTCCGCTTCTGAACATAGCTGCTGGATCTTTTCTGCTGGTCATGAAGCCCCAGAAAAGCTGTCCATATCTTGGGATCCTCATACCTGCAAGAAGGCCAGTGTGTGGTACTTGGCAACACCAGAATCCCTTAGGAGATGCTTTAACCACGAGAGACCTCTAGGAACAGAATCTAGAAAGCCTCAGCTCAGCTCACATGCAGGTTCAGGTTGTGCAGCCCCAGCTCTGACAGGAGTGGACCAACAGTGCTTTCTGTTGATCAAGCCCAACCTTTCCAGCTATGTAAGGATGGATGGATGGATGGATGGATGGATGGATGGATGGATGGAAGGAAGGAAGGAAGGAAGATGGAAGGATGGAAGGAAGGGGACTGGGACAGGGAAGGAAAATAAGCAACCATGAAAAACCCAACTTCAAAAAACTTGTTAAAAACATCGCTAATTTATTTATTTATTATCTCTAGATTCACCTCTGTGGTGGGGGTCTTTTTGTCACTTCCAGAAAGCAGAGGAGAAAAAAGAAACTCTGCCCCAGAACAAAAATTACAGTGAAATTTTAAGTATGCTAAAGAACACTACTAGTGAGACTTATTATTTCTCTCATTCCAGCAATCCATAGAGATGCAGAGCTGGAAGGGATCTGGGAGATCATCTAGTCCAGCCCTTGCTCAATCAGTCATCCCTGACTGAGGCAGCATCCTAATGGGCAGGCCATCCAGCTTCTGCTTCAGTGCTCCATGAGGGAGAGCCCACCAGCTCCCCAGGCAGCCTGTTCTACCATCCAACAGTGTGTACCATTAGGACGTTTCTCGTACAGTTTACCTAAGTCTGTTTCATTGCAATTTTTACTCTCAATGCCTGAGCAACAGATAGCAAATTTGCACCATCTGCTGCGATTACCTTTGAAGATAACCCTTCTCTTTACCAGGTTAAGCACATTCAGCTCTTGCAAACATCCATCCTCCAAACCTCACACCATCTTGCAACAATTCTTACAGCAGCCCTATAAAAGCTAAGTCAACACTAAGATTGCAAGGGGGCTGCGGCTTAGAGAACTGTGCCTTGCTTAAGGCCATTCTGCTAAACCTGCAAGAGAGATGACATGAGAGCCAAGAAATCCCCAGTTCCCAGTTCGGTCTTGGTGAAGCCAACTCCTTTGATGTTGATGTCAAAAGAGAAATGCAAGTGACAGAATCAAGCAGAAAAATAGCAGCAGGGAATATAAGCTAGTGGGATACCAGAGGAATCCTGCATCTCTACCAACCTGACAAAGTTTAACTGCCGAAAGCAATGTGCTGCCGTCACCAGCCACTTCTCCGAAATCAAGGAGGCCCCGCAGACATGGCCCTCATCTCGTGCATGCAGGCTCACCTGCCAGGGCCACTCGCCCACATCCGCATCCTGCCCACCTACGATTCGGGACTGCTTGCTGTAGCTTCGTATGCCGCAGTCTAAAAGGAAGGCCCCAGAGAAGCCCCAAGAAAACAACGCTTGAGCAAAGCCATTTCCGAGGAACCTGGAGAAATGCACGCCACCCCACTCTGGGCTTGAGCCTCGCGGGAAGACAGCTGCAAATAGCCAACAATCTACCGATAATCCAAGAGGGAAATTATCACACACATGTGTAGCCAAGGACGATGATATTCTTGCAACAATAGCAATGGTGACAGTGATCAACGGTTATCATCCTCCTCCTCTTACAATGTGTTGCTGCGAAGTCATGCCCAACCCATCGCAACCCCATGGACAACATTCCTCCAGGCCCTCCTGTCCTCCACCATCCCCCGGAGTCCACCCAAGCTCACACCCACTGCCCCAGTGAATCCATCTAGCCACCTCATCCTCTGCTGCCCCCTTCTTCTTTTGCTGTCAATCATTCCCAGCATCCTTACAATGTGAGGTGACCATAATAGAGTATTTATGCTCCAGAGTGAGGAATCTGATGGATTTTAATCAGGCAGCCCCTGGATTTTGGTCCCCCAGATTTTGGTCCCTCAGGCAGGCCACAATGAAGTTTAGGGTATCTCTTATTTTTCTGAAATAATTTTGATTCTGATATGTAAGGTATATTGCTATGATTATTATTTAATTTAAAAAGTTAAATTAGAGATGGAAAAATCACAGATGACTTTTTCATCAAGCAAAGCAGCATTTGTTTATTCAGTCATAAATTATCCCACCAACTTCAATATGTTAAAAAAATGCAAGCTTGATGTAGCATGAACATTTTTCTTTGATTTAAAATCAATTTATTGGCTAAAGGAAAACTGTTAACAGTGTAACTGTACCCACATCAACTCAGAAGTCCATTTGAATTTAGGGGAGCTTACTCCCATATAAGTGAGCACAGGATGGATTTTTTTTTTTTTCAAATCCAGTAGATTGGCTGGTAGACCTATTTATGTGGGTGATGGAAACCATATTTTTTAAAAACACAGTAGATTGATTTTACATTTTCTGACATTGCACCAAGTGATCTTGGACAACCAACCTGATTTTCTGAACCTGCTAAATATATTCTTTTCTCAAATCATCCTCCACTCTCTTAAAAGCAAAAGAGGTAAGACCCAAACTCACTGCAGTTGTCCTCATCTGAGTTATCACTACAGTCCTTCTTGCCATCACACTCTGGATTCCTCTTGTTCACGCACAAACTGTTGCGGCATTTATAGGTGTATTGTTGGCAGGGAACGACGGCGGCTGCAAATTACAGAGAGAAGAAAAGCTTCAGTGGCAGGAAAGCCTTTCACAAGGAACACATGGAGAGGGCGCGATGTCTCTGCCGGGGGGAAGGTGGTGACCGGAAGCATGGAAGCATTTGAAATTTCTCATGCACTGCTGCATTGTCTGAAAGCAGACAGCCTTGGCATGGTACGCCAACCAAGAATTTCATGGTGGATCAGACAAAAGGTGGATCAGACAAAAGGTCCATCAACTCCACAGAAGAGGAGGAATACTTGCTTCCTAGATGGAAGAGGGAATTCTGAATACCTGCATGCCACTTCACAACAGGCTAAACATGAGCCAACAATGCAATGCAGCTGCCAAAAGGGCAAGTGCTATTTTGGGATGCATTAACAGAAGTATTACTTCCAAATCACAAGAAGTAATAGTTCCCCTATACTCCTCACTAGTCAGACATCATCTGGAATACTGTGTCCAGTTCTGGGCACCAAGATTTAAGAAAGATGTAGAAAAATTAGAAAGGGTCCAAAGGGGGGCAACAAAAATGATGCAGGGTTTGGAAACACTGCCCTGTGAGGAGGGACTGAGAGAACTGAGCATGTTCAGCCTTGAGAAGAGAAGACTGAGCGGGGACATGATATCCCTCTACAAGTACCTCAAAGGCTGACACAAAGAGGAAGGGCAAGATCTCCTCTTGCTGATGCCAAAGTGTAGGACACGGAATAATCAGTTTAAGTTGCAACAACCCAGATTCAGGCTGGACATCAGGAAAAGCTTCCTCACTGTCAGAGCAATACGACAGTGGAACCAGCTGCCTAGAGAGGTGGTGGGCTCTCCCTCACTAGAGACATTCAAGGTGAAACTGGAAAGCCATCTGAATGGGATGGTGTAACATGGTGTCCTGCAACAGCAGGAGGTTGGACCCAATGGCCTTCATGGCCCCTTCCAGCTCTGCTATTCTATGATTCTATTCACTGAGCACCCTCTTCGCTATTGGGAAAGGCCATCTGCTGCTGTCCATGAAGTCCAGCTGGGTGAGTTTCAGAGAAACCGAATGAAAAGCCTGCTGCTCCCCCGGTGTCTCCTACTGCCAATGATCCTGCCATGCCAAGCAGGCTGGACGGACGCCCGTGCCACATTTGTGGGCCCAAAGACCAGGCCCGGCCTCGGTGGGCAGGCAACGAAGCAGACGGCCACCTGGCCCTGGCCACTGCTTGCCGCTGCATTCCCAACAGCTCAGCACCAGGCACTTACTGGAGTCACACTTGCCCTCATCGCTGCCATCCCCGCAGTCGTCCTTGCCGTCACACTTCTGGGGGCCCGGGATGCATTTTCCGTTGCTGCATTTGAAGTTATCGGCTGGACATTCTGAGAAACAGAAAGGGATGCCGCAGGTCACGATCGCGAAACAAAGGGCACGGACATTTGGCACGGGTGTCACAGGACAGGGGCTCGGATGCATCGTTCTGTTCTCCAGCCAGGGATATCTCACCCCTCCCACCTGCTCACACCTGCAGCCCCCCAGCTCCAGGCAGGTTACTCACGGCACTGCAGCTCATCACTGTTGTCCCCACAATCGTTCACACCGTCGCACACCCAGAACTTCGACTTGCACCAGCCATTCTGGCACTGGAACTGCTTCTCTGTACAAGCTGAGGAACAAGGCAGCAAAGAGGTGAGGGAATCACCACCCACAGCTCCAAAAGAAAAAAAATGAGCGCACAAGAGAGAGAGACAGATGAGATGCTTCAAGCTAAAATATATGCAATAAAAGGTGCACGGTTTAGACCCGCTGCCAACTTGGAAGCCTGATAAGCAGGCCGTTCTTCTTTCTTCTCTCCTCTGAAAGCACCGATTATGCGCCACCACCACCCCGCTCTTTATTCATGCTGCCAAGGTCTCCAGCGAGAGCTGAGGGGAAGGACTCACTGCAGTTCCTCTCGTCAGCACCATCCCGGCAGTCCAGCCAGCCATCGCAGAGCCTCGACTTGTCGATGCAGTTGCCGCTGGGACAGCTGAATCTGCCTGGGCACGCTACAAGGTGGGATTAGAGGGTGGGGGAAGGAGGGAAGAGGAAAGAGAGAGGGATGTCAGCCTTGCCAAGGGTCGCGGGCACCACCTCCCCAAGCCGGTGCCCCCCTGCGAGTGGAATGCTTTCACGACTGGTCTGTGGGAAGCCTCTTTCTCAAGGCACACTTGAGGCTCTGGATGGGACCTCCAACAGGTTCCAACTGAGATGTCCACGGACAGGGCAAAACACTTCATTTTTTTTTTGTATGTTTGGTTTTAGTTTTGTTGTGATTTCTGAAACTCAGAATACAATTTTAATTTAAAAAAATGGATTTCCAACTTGACTTCTACTTTTGCCCACAGAGAATGCGGCTGAAGCGCTCACCTCAGGACACAAGGCAGCCATCCTTGGGTTTCACTTGTCGCCTGAGAAGATGTGACAGAATGTGTCTCATTTCCTAAATGCAGGCACTTAGCTTTGGCCACTGCATGTTTGGCTGTTTTTAGCATGGAATCCCCAAACTCCTGCTTGCACATGCATGTCAGATTGTTTTAACTGCAATTTCTCAGCCAGATCCAGTTCCCAATATTAAATCATGCCTTGGTGCACTGTGGACTTGTCTCTCTAGATCACTCTAGTGCAATGGAACTCCAGGAAGTCACTTTAAAACAGCTCAGGCTGTTGGCCCATCCAAACCATCAGCTTTGGTGGAGAGCTGATCTTCGGGGTTTCTGAGAGAGGCCCTCCTGTCACCTCCCACTTTTCACTGGAGATGCCAAGTTTCGAATCTGGGGTTTTCTACATGTGCTTTGCCACCAAGCAGTGAGCAGCGCTCGTTGCCCCTCAGCAATCCTGCACAGTCATAAAGGTGTGAGGGGGCAGGAAGGGGAACATGCTGACTGAGTGAACAGCTCTTTATTTCAGTCCACTGCCCATTGACTCGACAGGATGATTTCAAGTTCGGGTATTAGGAGAGAGGACGGAAGAGGGAGATGCCCATTTTAGCATGGTACATATTATTATAAACATTTCTCTTGCCCAAGGAGAAAGAACTAGGGCCTTCAACCTTTTTGGATCAGTGGGCATACTTGGAATTTGGACAGAGTGTTATGGGTGCTCAAACCAACTGGCCTCTGTGGGGAGTGGGGAGTTGCCCTTTCACAAATGACTTGCTTCCGGAAAGCAAACTGGGAATACTTAAAGAATATAACCTGACCAAGACCACAAGCACAAGGTGGGATCTGAGCTGTGAAATACAAGCCCACCCTTTTGAACACAAAAAAGGTGGTCCTGGAGGGAAGCCATTCAGTTTGCAGAATGACCATTTCCTAGTTATTAGTTTTTTTAAAAAAATGTTATTAGGTTTTAAAAAAAAATCTTTTTAAATGTTCACGTCAGGATGGGCAAGGATGCTGGCAGGCACCAAGAGGGGAACTGTGTTGGAGCACCATGATGTAAAACCTGGTTCTAAACTAGATCTCAAATGCTTCAGCTGCTCCCCTGGGGAAGATACCCAAGCCCTCTGACAACAAGACCAACTTGTCCTTTCCACTTACGGTCATTAGAGTCATAAGACAAGAACTCCGCCTGAAAGCCACTGTCCACGAATGAAGAGTCTGAATGGAAGCGGACAGTAATTTGGTTGGTTTGACTCGATACCACCAAGTTTTCCCGGTGACCACAGTACCTGGAAGAGTCCGAAGAAGGCAAGAGTCACGTAAAGGCAGAGCGAGTAGCAGGGGAGAGGCACCTCTGTCGAGGCATCAGGATCCACCGCACACAGACACTGGACCCAGTGTGGATTTCTCACTCCCATTTTCCCCCAGCATAAATAGAATCCCCATTCAGGGTAGGATAGTTATGTCCAGTGCAGACAGTGATGGTTGGGTAGCCCCATTATTCAGTGATGATTTCAGTGGTGGCCCCATTATTTGGAAGACTCTTGGTCTTCCCAAGAGAGATCCAACTGCTTCCGTCACTTCTGAATTTTAAATGGGTTTTAGAAACCCATTTGTTTCAAGCTGCATCCAGTCAACCTGCTGGTCTGAATTCCTAACTGCTGACTTGAAATTGCCTTTCCAATAGTTTCATCAATTATCAGCATTGGGGAGTTAGACTGTGGAATAATCTTAAGCACTGATTTAAATGTTCAGATGTAAATGAAATCTGATACTGAAGATGTATGCTTTATTTTTAGGCAAACTACCTTGGCAGTGCTTTGCCCTGAAGGATAGCCTGGAAATCTTAAGTAAATGGATGAATAAATGGCTAGGCAAACTGCCCAAGAAAAACTACTGCTGTAGAGGCCGACTTTCTCTTAAATGAGCATGGGCCCAGGGTGCTCTCTCTGATCAGCAACCATTGGTGGATGCGTCTCATAGAGAGGGCCTTTAAAGCAGTTGTTCCAAAACGGCAGAACACTGTTCCTGTTAACCCTGACCCGAATGTTTTCCCACATTGATCTGCCCTATCAAATTTATGTCCAGCAATTCGCCATTTAAGGTGTTTCATAGTCTGATATTATGTTTCTATTGAAAATTTTGTCTCTCTGTGTGTACTAAAATTATATATCCCATAAATTTTCATTGTTCATTGTGTTCTATTTGCATAGCTTTTATGCCCAAGTGGCTTTGCAGATGAACAAGTATTATGGGCAGCAAATTGCACTAGCAATAACAGCAATAGTAACAATAACAATAATATAGCAATATAGCAGTATTGTAACATAATAGCAATAATAATCTGAATTTTGTTGCTAAACACCTATCATTTTGAATCTCTTCAATGCATGCTGCAGCTTTTTACAACACTGCATATTTTCCAAACTGCAGTGCACCTTCCTTCCACCCTCACAGCTGGGGAGGGGCCTTCGGTGCCAGCTGGGACTCCAAGTCAGAAGTGCCACTTCTGGGCTGACACTGGGAGAGAAAGGAATGGAGGAGTGAGGCTCCACCGGGATGCTCAGCATCCTAGTGGTGCCACAGGAGCAAACTTCTGCAGGATGGCAAAAGAGGAGAGGCAGTGCTCACCTCCATGCTCCTCCCACACTTGACTGGATGCCCATCTCCCTCCAGATGGAAGATTCAAACATCCACACTAAAGGTAGCCATTAATTACGCTCCAGTTATGGGTGATCAACACCCGCCACAGCAACAATGGTGTAATCCCAGCTTCCTCAAGGAAATCACAGCCAGCCCTGGATGACGGCTGTTTCCAAAGTCAACACAGGGTTCTTACTTCACATTGTTGATTTCGACGTAGTCCTTGGTGCAGGAATCCAGCGGAATTCCGGGCTCCACAAGGAAGAACTCTTGGAATCTCACTTTCACGTTCATGTCTCTGGGGACCTGGGGACAAGATTGGTGGTTGCAAGACGGACAGGGAGGGAGGGGGGAAAGGGAGTGATAGCACTACAATGCCGGTTCCCTTTTCTACGGCCTTCCTATGATACTTTGGCAGCAGAGCAGCAGCTAAAGTAATATCTCATAGGTGGAAGTTTGCCCCAGAAGCAGCCCACCTCCCAAAGTGGCAGCCCAAAAGCAAGAACCCTCCTCTGTTGGTGCCTTCCAGCAAAATACAAGCGTACTGCTTCTGAGCATGGCAGTGATTCACTAGAGCAGTGACCTGGGTCCCAATCACCCACCATTTCTGTAGCGTTTGCTCAGCTTCACCTGACCCCACCTGGAAGCCTGAAAGGGTCCACAAGTTATGCTAACCTATGCTGGCCTCTGGGGTACTTGGACCCACCCAGCCCCTTTAGCCTTCCCTTACAACCTCTGCTAGAGCATAGCTCCTGGGAGCGTCTCTGAGGATAGCCTGTGCTCGAGGTGGAAGAGATCTGGCATTCGTGCCACGGAGCCTTCCTAACACGCACCCATGAGCAGACTTCCTGATCCCTCCCACCCTGGCACTAGCACCCTGCTGCAGCTCATCAGCAAGGTCCTTCTGACATGCCCTGTGGGGCTCCCCCTCCAGCAGTATAAACTCTTCTCTGTTCTACGATCTTGGCCACACATCCTGAAGAAGGATGTGCAGCCGCCGCCCCATCTCCAGCTCCTGGTTCTTGGCTACTTACCTGTATATTCCAGGTGCAATCCATATTAGGAGGATAGTGGCCTGGGTGATAAGGGGTGTTGAAATTGCCAGACATGCCACTCAAAACTCCGCCACAGGCTAAGAGAGAAGGAAAACAACGTGAAACCTATTTTCGAGCTTCCTGGATAGGCGGGCAGGGAAAGAGACACTTGTGCTGAGCAGCTTTCAGTGAGGTTAAGCTGATCCCTGGGGGTACCAGATTTACTCTGAAAGCACGGATCTAACCCAGGAGGCCAATTGTGCCTCACCTGCTCACACCTGTGCATCAGCGCAGCCCAATCCCATCCCTGCCCATCTCTCATTAGGAGGCATCATTAGGGCAGCCAGAAGTGGCTTTTTCAAGACTGAGAAAGAATCCTACATCGCAGGTTGCATCTTTTGAAAGGAAGTGCTATCCTCGATATATTTTTCACCCAGAGCTGCTTTTAACTCCTTTTTTTCCTCTTCTGCAATAATCAAGCCTTTATTCCCCTTCTGCCTCCCAAAAAGCAGAAGAACCCCAGAGCATTTGTCTTACATTTCTTCTTTGGCATCTGGAAGAACTGTGCCTTGAATCCTGGGTACCTCCCTTTAGCATCTGTGATTAACATGACCAGCATAACATTTTGCGAGGAAACAAAGGTCAGGTTGTATGATGGATTATAGCTGCCACACAGCCTGGAAAGAAGGAAGGAAGAAGAGAAGGATTTGGTAGCAGCAGGGCGAGTGGAGAAGACAGCTAACCAGTAACCACTGCAATGACCCCACATGCATGATGCTGAAGCGGAAAGCAGAATCAAAGAGTCTGCCAGCTAGCAAGGTGAGCAATGGCTCCACAGCCGGGGTCAAGGGTAGGTGTGGCTGGGCGCCTGCCAAGGGACCACAGTGCAGCTGGTCCTCCTAACAAGAGCCCCCTGGAGTTGCACCACTTCTTCACTGGGGCATCCTGCTGGTTCACCTGCTCCCTGCTCTGGCCTGGCAATGGGGGTGCTGAGAAGGAAGAAGAGGACTTGCCACTGCTTTCTTGCTCAATGGCTCCCTGCCAGTCAAGCAAGCAAGAATGAGAAAGATGAGGGAGAGCAGGAGCACGGGGTGGGGGCAGTGAGGGTGAGAAGGCTGACTCAGTGAGGGAGGGGACCCCGAGACACTCTTGCCCAGGGACCCCAAAGCATTCAGCCAACACTGGGTGGGTGGGTGGCTGCTCCCACCAAACCCGGAACCTGGCACAGTGTGGTCTCCTTATTCCCTGCCATTCCATTCCCAAATGGTCTCTTGCCAAATGATCAAAGAGGCAGGTCAGAAGGAGAGAGCTCATGTAAGTGGCATCACTCCTTCCGAGAGATGGCAGTGCCTCTGCCATTCACAGATACAGACCTGCGTTACAGATCTGAGATCACACAGTGGGTGCCCCTCAAATGTGATGAAGTACTAAGTATGTGTTTCATGTTTCCGTACTTCTTAGATGTTGAGAGCAGAAATCAATGTGGATCGGCAGACCCTGACTTTCAGCACAAGATAAAGGAGCAGGGAGGTGGTTACACCAGGACAGGAGAGGCATTTTCAGCTAGAGGGATGAACGTCATTTTGGAGGAGCTCCTGGGGCCCATGTTGGGCTGGGCTTGGGGAATATTAGGCAGGGCCTAGACACTGAACATGCCAACATATTTCAGCTCAAAGCCTTTCCCATCCCCTTCCAGAATGGGGGAAAACACTGCACAAAAGTCAGGAAATCACCAAATGAGAGGACAGAAACGGGTGCATCATGACTTTACTCTTTCTGATTTGTGGACTGGAGTGATGTTGGGATTCTAACCCACCTGGAAGGCTTCAGGGGGGGAAACACTCTGACAGCACAGTGCTGAAGACCCCACAAAGAGCATTGGCTAAACCTACTGTGCTCTTCCAGGCATGCCACAAACATTTAGCATCTCTGCAATTCGTGCACCTGTGCCACAGGTAGGCCTCCAGATCCCAGAAGGTCACGGCATCCTAACCATCAGACTTACTTCACCAGTGAATGGGCCTCCACCGGGCTCAGTGAGTTGTACACCTTGACGAAGTCGTCGCCCATGTGACATGGCGCCACATCGAATGTCGTGAAGGTCAGACTAATGACAGAGTCTGCATCGGCCCTCAGCACCCAGAGGCAGTGTGCGTTGTTTGCGTAGGGGCTGTTGGGGAATCCCGGCGTGGTGAAGGTGGTGACGACACCTTCTTTGGCATGTAAGGCGTAATGGCAGCTTCCTAGCACACAAGCAAAAAAGGGAGACCTTGGAAAGTGGAAGCAGCTTGGCTTCAGTCAGCTCATCAGTTGGCAAAGGAACAGCATATGGGCAATTTAAAGCAGAACACCCCCACACACACACTCACACACACATCCAACAGGCACAGGAGGCAAGCTTATTGATACCGATGGATTAAGTCCAAGGTATTGTGAGTAAATTGCTCAGTAACTGTATCTCTCTAACTGCAAGCGGGTTTATGACTGAAGCCTTCATACAGCTTTCTCCCAATAGGCAGTTGCTCCAGATGGAAGGAAGGAACAAAACCTCTTGTTCAAACAACCAGTGACCAATTCATCGCACTTGCTATAAAATCAGGCTATGTATTACTTACTGTTCCATGAAGTCTTCATTATATCTGGATCAGAAGCTGCATGTTAAAAACAACAACACATTTATTACTAACAAGTCACTTCTGCATACCCAGAATAGGAAATTATCTGGAGATTAAATAGAGGGTGGTGCATCCTCCTTATTCCTTTCTATCCGCCCAGACTTACTTCTCCGCAAAAGTGAGGAAGGAACTCATAAGTGAGTGTGAGTCTCCAGTTTGGCCTAATAAAGCACAATAGACCAATCCTTAAGCTGCCAGACTCTATTCAAGTTTATCCTTTTATGTTTCTAAGTCTTTCCTCTTGCCACAGCTGAAATATGTAGCTGAAGGAGCAAATGCTCACACCGTGATACAGCTCCAAGCCAGGTCAAAGTTAACGGCAGGGCAACAAGGAGAGGCCATGAGAGAAGACAGAGCCAGGAAGGACACTTACGGAAAGCAACGAGCGACTCGACCCGCAGCTCTGGGTTCCGGAGCTTTGTTGGCCCCGCTTGAGGGAAAGCCCCGATGTTTGCCATGGCCTTGTCCAGCGCATTCGCCTTGTATTTTGGGACACTGAACTCTGACCGGTAGTAAGCTATAACACTTCCCTCACTGCATGGAGGAGAGAAAATGGCAGTTACGTTAGAGCCTATTGTGACTATTGGATTCGAACACAAAAATTTCTAGTCTGTACTGGGATAAACCCAGGCTGGAAAAAAATTGTTGCATTCAGAACAGCAAGTATGAGTTTAGCCATTTCCTTCTTTGTAGAAATTACTTTTTCCTTGATCCCACAGATAGAACTGCCTTACACTGGATACCTTTACATTTCTGGGGAGAGCTTATCTTTGTTCCCTGCCCAATCCTAAATGGTACAGGTGTAATTAATCCCCAGCATCCTGAAAGACAAACTGTGAGTCAACCCAAAAAGGAGCTGTTCCATCAATGCCTCAACCCATATGCAGGACACTTCACACAAGAATTTCCCATCTCACGCTTTTCCCATGTAATTCAGCTTCCTTGTTCTTAGCAGCAAATACACTAGCCAAGCAACATGCAGAACCTGCAGTACACAAAGCTCTATTTGAGTAAACTCTGAACCAGTTGCAACGCCATGTTCTGTCACTGGGTGTCACTATTTGCAGTTTGCAGCTCATCTTGCCAAGGCCAAATCTACTTTTTGTAATCCTGTGCTTTGTCACTAGGTGTCACTGTGCTGTTCAATCTACTTTAGCTTAGTAGGACTAGTGCCTTGCTCCAGATAAAAGCCAAAACTAGGTGCATCATTTAGTGAGCCAGTATATTGCACACACACAAGAACACATCTGTAAACTGACCCTGGGTCAGTTTCACCCAAATGATCCACATATGCATTTATCAAGACCTTGTATGGAAAACAAAAGTGATGTAACTGTCCACCACATGAAAGAATGTAGATTAGGGAAGTTCCCATGATACATGACATGAGTCATTATTATTTATAATGTATATCCTGCCATTCCTAATACAGAAACAAGTATCTAATAAAACAAAAGTTAAATCCATAAAACGTAACAGCGAGAACTGACTATCTGAAGCAAAAGCTGGATACCAAGCAACAAACAAGGAAGCAGCTTTGCGTGGCCACCTGCCACAACAACCATCAAGCCGGCCAAACGCCTTGCCAAAAAAGGCAGGTTGTCGCTTTTCACCGGAAGCTATATAAAGAACGGCGACAGGCGATGGTCACTGACCCCCAGCAGCAAATGCAAGAACATTGCAATTTAGTTAAAGAGATGGCAACTTTCTAGAGGGAATGCAGGAAGGCCATTGCACCCCTGCGCCCACCGGAAGCATTGCCACCAACTGCCATCACCCCATGCCACCCCAGCCCTCTTGGCCCCTCAAGACCCATGCGACAGACTCCCTCATTTCTCCCCACCTTAAACGCCCCCCTCATATTACCTACCTGAAAGCAGTTATCATCGTCTTCTTGTGGAAAGGACCAACATCCTGGTTATTTTGATAGATGTCGGTGAGCTAAATGTATAAAGGACATTGAATTTAGAATAAATACATTTCTAGTAGATCCAACTGTTAGATCTACTATTCATTTGTACTATTCATTTGTACTATTTCTACACAGTAAAATGTTCTTTAAATCCCCAAATGGTTTCCATATAAAAATTCAAACCACAATTAAAATCACATTCCAACTACAATTTTAAAAACAATACAATTACAATAACAATAACACATAACAGTAAAATGAAACAACTTAGCTGATTTAATTATGGGTCAGGGAAAGCCTGGATGAACAGGTATGTTTACAGGAAGCATTTCGAAAATATTAAGTTTTCTGCCTCCTGGACTGCCCAAAGGAGGGTGATCCTGCTCCCAAGAGTGCAGGCCTTGCTGGTCATTCCAATATCATTGGAATGCCACCATATAATTCCTCATCTGCCGATGGGCTCACCCTCTACAAGGAAGCTTCAAACAGGAGCACCGTTCCACTCAACCCTAAGCACCCCACATCATGCCATAGGAGCACAGTTTTCCTTACCATTTGCTTAACTGTACTGGCCAGGACAGTAAATTCATAAGTAGTAGAATTTTCATAGGCATCGATGAATCGGGCCCCCGTGAGCCTCAGGTGACCATTGTAGCGCTTCTGCACAAGGGCATTCCTGTCTGGAGTAAGACATTGGAGGGACGGAGGAGAACAGCTTTTAATGATGCTGAATGCACTACGATCTGAGCTACCAGGCTAGAAAAGCCAGGAATGAATGGACACAAAATGAAGCAGACACGTCTGCCCTGAAACAGGGTCAAGGCCGAAAAAGAACCTCATGTCTAGCAGCTATCTTCCTTTTTGGCTTCAGTTTCACCCAGATGGCAACCCCAGTGTAGGGGTAGGCCGATTTTAAGGTCTGGATCAGGAGCTCTAAAGAAAAGAGCGGCAGCGTGGTGTGGTGGGGTGAACATTGGGGTTCCAGCACCCCTTCAGTCCTAAAGCTCATTGGCTGACTTTGAGTCAGATGCTGCCCCTCAGCCTAACCTACCTCACAGGGTTGTTGTATGGATAAAAGGGAGAGGGACGCAACTGCATGAGCCACCTTGAGTTCCCTGCAGGAGGAAGGAGCGGCAGGATATAAATAATATTCCACCTTTTTCTAGACACTTTTCCTCAGGTTACTCAAGATGATATTTGTCAATTAGAAATGAAACCATCACCACAGAAAACTAATACATGGTGCTATTAATTGTTAATAATACTAATGTTGTGAATAACTAGGGGACTGACAGAAACCACTTTGGAAATACAGCTCTCATCAGCGCCCAAAATCTAAAGCCACAGGCAAAGAGAGAAGAATGCAGAGTAGGAATACAGGTTTAATGCTGCCATCTTATACTGGACTAGCAATCAGACCTCGTGGAATTCAGTGGGGCTTATGAGTTGTCACCTACTTTGTTTTAGACTAAAGTTTTTGTTGAGTAATTGGCTAGCAGGGGAAAATAACTGGTACCATTGCAAGTTCAGGACAGGCTGTTTTTTCAAGCTGCCCTGGAATGGGAGTGAGAAGGAAACATGAACAGATGGCCTTCCAGTGAACTATGAGCAGCTTTTTTTATTATTTATTTTATTTATTTATTAAAACATTTCTTATTAAACTGTAAGTTCTCTTCTATTTCCTTCAGCATCCCTGAAGGGCACTTACGTCCATCTTTCCCTAACATGCAGACATATTTAAATCTAAAACTGCTTCGATCAATGCGGTGACCGATGAACAGCATAGGTGACCAGACCTAACCTGGCTGGTTGGTTGTTCTCTGAGTGCCAGCCCACTCTCACTTACATTTGAAGTGCCAGACGAGGAACCCCACCAAGAGGGAGAGGAGGAGGCTAACAGATACGATGGCTACCACCAGCACCCACCGCTTCGGGCCACGCTTCTCCAGCTTCTTGGCATTCATGGTAGGGAGGAACTCAACCCCTTCCTCGAAGCCGTTCATGTCCTACAGCAAGACAAGCACAATCAGGCTGCATTCCTCCTACCTGTGTACCTGCATTTCTTACTTCATCTGATAGATATCCTGAGATTTGCCCTGGTGCAAGGGACCTGAGGGGGCTTACCTGGTCCCCCTCTTCTCCCTTGCATCCTCACAACAACACTCCTTTGAGGTAGGTTTGGCTAAGAGTCGGTGACTGGCCCCAAGGAAGCCAGGGAGTTTCACAAGTGGGGAAAAGAAGCCGGATCTTCCCAAGTCACTGTCCAACACTCAGCTGCTACTGGCTCCGTGTATACTCATGTGTAGATGTAGGAGATACACTCCCTCCCCCATCTCCAATTATTTTTTCTGTGTTCAACACAGCAGTGCCCCTTGCAGTGTTTTACAGAAGGGGTGGGCAGAAAGTAGACCTCCTGGTGCTATTGGACTTCAGCTCCCAGCATTCCTAGCCACTGGCCGTGCTGACAGAGGCTTCTGGGAGTTGGGGGTCCAAAATACCTGGAGGGCCAGCTTCTGCCCAGCCTCACGCCACATTGTGTTACTGGGCCAGACTGAAATGCAATTCTGGCCAGAAGCAAGCAAAAACGAGGATTGCAGCCTTCCAAGAACTGGAGAGGCAGAGGGGACAGGAAATCAGAGTCTGAAAAATCTGGAAGACCACGAATAGGGAGCGGCTGCTCCGGAGCCCAGAAGCTCTGCACAAAGTCAGCATCTGAGCACGCATGCACTCATCGCCAGAAATGGGAGGGGAAGTCAGGAGTTGCACACTCTCCGGGAGCATCGCTTCCAACCGTCTCTGCCCAACCCACTGGAGCAGCTGCGGAGATCACGCCAAACCAGATTGGCTCAGCCAAGCGAAGACATGCTTCGTGGGCTATGCTTTTGGCATGAGGACTTCCAGGTGGCATCATTTCACCTACACAATGAGCAGCTTTTCATTGGTGCTTGCATGAAGGTTAGGGGTGAATTTCCTTTTGCCTGGGGCACCAGTCCAGGCTCTGATGGAAGTTCCTTCTTTCTACTCAGCTCTCTCTACTTGTGCAGCGAATAAGCCTTTGCAGCAAAAAGTATCCTTGGGGGAGTGGGAGGAGGCAAACTCTTGTCCTTAACTCAGAGGGATGTTCTGTCAGGGAAGGGAAGGGAAGGGAAGGGAAGGGACCTGGCAGGCAGCCTGGTGCCCAAGATGTTCAGAATGCAGAAGATGTTCATTTCTGGCACCATAAAATGCTCAGTGCTTAGGAGGAAGGGTGTCAAAATGTTCTTCCACTGACTTTTGATGTGCTAGAGGACTTCAGTTAATCTGCACATCACACAAAAGTGCCATTGGAATGCAGTTAACCCCATGGAAGTGTTGGATAAATCCTATGAAATCCTAGAGATGTGGGGAATCAGCATAAAATAAGCACCCCACCACCCCTTCATTCTTCTTTCCAAATCTTGAGTACCCTGGAAAGGCTTTCAAGAAGTTTGGTACAATCCTTCAAAAAGCACTCTCAGCATATTCCTCTATTAGGCTCCAAGCATCTACCTGGCTGAAGGTGTTAGGAAGCTTTTCCCTTCCATTGGAAGCCAGCTGTCCTCCCTTATTTACCTAAACTCACTTCCTCCTCCAATACTCAGTGCTGCCACACTGTTGTTGTGTAATCTGCAGTCTGGTTTCATTTGACCTGGCTTCATGACTATCCCTTTGATGACTCAATGCTTGGATTATGCACTGCGGAAACAGACCTACATTAGGTTACACGGGGATCAGCCGGTCAGTAAAAGCAATTCCACATGACTTTGAGAGCTTCACCAGGAAAGAGAAACTGCCCTTTCCTTTGTTTGACTTTCATCTCTGCATCCGATTCACCCATATTCAGGGCCATTCGTTGCTCTGGGCACGTACAGGGCTAATTTCACTTCTACGTGGCTTAGAAAACACGTGAATATGTTTGGCCTCATAAACTGGGCCAGCGACAAAAGTGCAACCTGTCCCTAGAAGTGAGAGAGCAGCCTTCCCCAACTGGTGGCCCTCTGGAGGCTCTGGAACACAATTCCCAAAACCACAAATGACTGCAGATGAAAGGTGACAGGTGGAGGAAGGCTGGGGTAAGGAACAGCCCTGGGTTCAAAACTGGCCCATCACTTTGCAAGCATCCTCCCACCCCTCCTGTGCTGTCACTTGACACCGAGGCATCATGCGATGGACGTGTGCATGTGGATGAGATCCGCCACAGCAGGCTGGGCAAGAGTTGGAGCCCAAAATGTTTTTCAGCTAAGAGGATTCGTTCATTCGTTCATTCATTCACCTGTAAAGGCCATTAAGGGATGGTTTACAGGAGCGACCTGCGGCTTGTCTTCATGCACTGCCCAGCCAGGAGGAAATGCCATGGGTGGAATGTTTCATATTGGTCCACATCACTCAGGTGCAAAATGTTTTCCAGTGGGCTCTGGTTTCACTCAGACGTGAAACGACGGGGGTGTGCATGCACACAAGCAATGTGCCAGTTAGAGTCGCACTCGAGAGAGCAAGGGATGGGTCTGTGAAGCAGTCTTTTGAGTGCTCCGCAGCAGTGGCAACCCCCGGCCACCCGAGCCACCAACGCATCATCTCCTAGTTTGGACCTCCATGACAAGTAACACCTTCAAACTCCACCTGCCCTGCTCATGGCAGAACAGCTTTGGGGGCACGGTGGGAGAGGAGCAGGTAGAAGAAACAAGGTAATTCTGAAGATCCCAATTCTAATGAGAGACAAGAGGGCGTACAGGAGAACAGTGTGTCGGCACAGCAAGTTCTGGCTTGACTTGAGGAGGAGCTGAACAAGGGTGAAAGGGCAACAGTCCAAGTAGAAAACCAGTTTCGGACCCAGGACATGACTGTGCCAGGCCTCTCCACACACTACTCACGGAGCAATGCTCTATCTCAAGATTTTAGCACTGCCTGCATTACCTTTTCTATCTTGCAAACCACTTGCTCCTGCAGGATTTACTTACTGTAGGAATGCCTAGAGAATTCAACAGAAGTTCCTGTGACAGTTTACATAAAAGGAAATTACAGAAACAATTTCAGTGCAGGCAGAACTGATCAATGATCCTTAAAGAGAGGTGGGAGAGGTGGGGGAAAAGACTCTTGGATTGGTTGATGATCATACAACGGATAATTCTGAGAGAAGGCCGAGGCAAAAATGCCCGTGCTTCATGGATCAAAACTCCCATTCAAACCAAGCTCCAGCCGCAAGCCCTCCTCAACAGGCATCGGTATGACACCTGCGCTCCACCACAGCACAGACAACTCATCCTGCAGCACATGGGAAATAATGATCCACCACAAACAAGGTAGCTGTGGGATTATCTGGGTTAATCTTTACAAGAATCGCTGCTGAAGTTGCAAAGAGAGTGCACTCTGCACCAGGAAGTCCTCAGCTTTGCTATAAAAGTGCTAGATGGTGTTCGGCTGTAAACCTGTGCCCATTCTCTGGCAGGAAACCTCAAGGAACACGGTGGGATTTAATTCCGAACACACATGCACAGGGCCGTGTTGCCAGCAGGGCAGCCAATGATGCATCAAAGGGAAACAAGGGCATGGATTTGCATACATTGTGCATATGCTCAATAATATGCACATTTAAGGGAGGAAACCCAAGCAGAAGCACCTCGGCCTAGTTGGAAGAGCGGTGATGAGGCGACTTGCGTATTTGCTCAGTCTGTCCTCTATAAATGCTGCATTCCAACAGTTCATCGTAGACCTTTGCCCACATTGTGAAAAAATGATTTATGGTTGTTTTCCGATCACCATAGTTGGTTTGGCCAGTTACTCTGTATTCTCTTCCATCTGTTTCAGGCAGCGCCTGCAGTGGACAGGTCAAAACTACCAGCCTAAAGGGACAATGGTCACATCTTGAGTGAGGAGCTACCCGATGATTCATGGCAGCCTGGCTGGACGATCGAGGTCATTTCACAAATTACGTGACAAGAAAGCGCATTTGCTATTGAGAGTACACTCAGGAAAAGCTAAACAGCAGTGCCATTTCTACAACTGGAGTACCCACTGAAACACACCTTTTCAGACACCTGCTTATCCCATGCACCTGTTACCTTCTGTGAGGTACACATAAAGAGAAAGAGGCAAGTAGAGGTGCCCTTCAGAAGCATCCCACCTGGGCTGGAACCCCACTTCTTTCATGTGGAGCCCACCTGAGGACCACCTGTCCTACCTCCTCACTGTCCAAGGGCACCTGCTGAAATAAAGAAACAGAGGCCCTGATGTTCACTGTTGCACCTGGATGAGCTGCCTTTTTGTCCCCATGTGCTTCGTCTCCTGCTGCCTCCCCACCCTACCCCTTTTCTGACCTTGCTCAGATGCCCTCCTCTCCCCTGCCCGTACTTCCCTTTAGGCTTGTGCCTAGAAGTCAAGGTTAAAGACAAACACCGGAGGCTTTAGAGCATATACAGAGTGGCACGCACAGCTTTGTGCCTTTCTCTTCATCCGCAAGCCTGAGTCCCGGATCTTTCCATTCTCCAGCACTTCCCCTGTGTAGGAAGACCTTCAGATACTAACAGGAGGCACTGATCTTAGCCCAGTAGGAAGACTTAGGAGGGTTTAACTTCAAGGTTCATCGTTGAATCCAGGTACTCAAAGGGATGATCATTATTAGAAGGCATCTTGTATTTGAAGGTCTGCCCAGACAAGGTCAGGCTTAAAGAGAATGATAAAGTTCCATTAGAAGGGGAAGCAGGAATCTGGAAATCGCCTCTCCACTTTTGGTCTCTGGACAGCAAACACAGGAGCCTAGGAAACAGCAAACACAGGATAGGAACAGGCTGCTATCGGTTAGTTAACCCACAGTGAAGCTGTGCATATATGGCCCCTATTTTGAATATGCAACCCCTACTTCAGGGTTGTCTAGTCATGCAAACTCAGCAAGCATGAGGTTATGTAAGGGTTAACCAAAAGAGACCATAGGTTATACAAGGGTTCTTTAACCCTTGCATAAGCCATACTGATCAGGTTCCCACACTATGAC